GATCCAGAAAATATCATATGCTACAAGAAATCACAAGAATGGATCAAGAAATTACATCAAATCATGCCAAACAACTAACAGTTTTGCTTTAACGCCAATTTTTTTGCTCATTTTTTGTTCAAAACTCAATTAGATTAAAGGCTTTTGTGCCGCACACTCAATACACTTATACTTAGATTTCACAAGCAAAATACTCTAGATTTGATAGCTAAAGTTTTGGTCTTCGCAACTGAATATCATTAAAAACTCTATTAAAGTAACGAAATTTGTTTAAAAACTTGTCGAGCTACAAACAGTGGCGGATTCAGAAATTTTAATGACTGGGGGTCCAAGTTTATAAATCACATAATGTAAAATAAGTCGTTTTAAAATGCTTGCATGTCAGCCGCCAACTATTGTGGCATAACTTGGCACAAGGCTCGTCTCGATGCTGCGTTAATTAAGATCATTGCACACCATAATTCAATAGGCGGTTTTCATAAGATTTGCTTCAATAAATCATGTCTTGAAAAACATGATGGCCCGTCTTGACTCCAAAGACTTGAGACTTGACCTCATCAAAAGCTAAGTATTTGTAAAACGATTTATTACATTTTTTTGAAATATAACATCGTTGCATCAAAAACTAACTTTTTGTAAACAATTAGGCTGATATATAAATTACCACGATTAAATTCAGTGTTATAAAGATATAAATTACACTAATACCAAATCAATCCAATTAAACGGGAATCATGGGTGAGCTTGAGAGTAAAAATGATCACGGATTTAGATCCACTTCTCATGTTAACTCAACTTGTCACACACTCCTTTGTCTTAAATAACACTTAACAACTCAATAAATATATAGTTAAATCTTAACACAAATGCTTAATAAACATATAAAAATCCTAATATTAATAATTAGTTTCCAATAATATGTAACTTTCTTACCAACAGAACATGAAAGATGCCTCGGGAATAATGGGTTTAAAAGAAAATTGGGAAGTCAAAGTGGGGTCTGACATTTTTTTAGTAGGGTCACTAAGGTTAATTGAGGTAGAATTTTTTTTATGGTAATAAAAATTCAAGTTAAAATATAGCTTTATTATATTTTGACTGGGGTCCTTGGACCCCAGTACTTATGTCTTGCCTCCGCCTCTGGCTACAAAGTCTTGCATCTTGTTCTAAAGGTGAAAGACCATTTCATTTTGATCAATAGTGATCACTTCTCCCTCATCAACGACATTTTTACGACTCTTTGATTAACCTTAAATGTGCAACCGCTCAAAATAATTCTTGGATTCGCCATTGACCTTGGTAGTTTTTAACTTTTCATCCTTATAAGATTCATGATCTCTGGACATATATAACATTGTTAAATAATATTCGGTAAATTAATTAAGGCATGCGTCTTTACATGAGGGTATTTTAGTCATTCTTAATTACCTCATTTGTTAATATTATAAATTACGTAATAAAATAAAATAATATCATATGTCACTCTCTCCATTCTCAAACCCGATTCTCCACCCTTCTACAATTGCTGGCGTCGAGGGTAAAAGATCTATCCTCTCCCGTCCATTATTTGATATTGAAAACACATTGAATCAACAAGATCATCTCTTGATCCACCTTACACCTACCTCCGTCTTCGGAAGTTCAACATCACCTCTAACTAGGGGTGTAAATGAACCGATCGAGACAACTCGCGAGCTACTCGAGATCGACTCGATCAAAACTCGATCAAAACTCGACTCGAATAAAACTCAACTCGAGATACTAACGACTCGACTCGAACTACCTGATACTCGGCTCGACTCGGCTCAATCCAATAAAACTCGCGAGCTACTCGAAATCGACTAGGTCAAAAATCGGTTAAAACTCGACTCGAATGAACCCGGTCAAAACTCGACTCGAGATACTAACTCGACTCGGCTCGGCTCGTTTACACCCCTACCTCTAACCCATTCTTCGACGGTGCATTCACACCTTATTCTTTGGCGTTGCACACCTACCATTTTCCCACATTTGATCTTGGTATCAACGATGCATGGATCACACCTTCATCAATTTTTTTTTTTGGATTTATGAATATTTTAGTTGATTTAGGGTTGTAGCATTAGATTTAGGAACTTTGATATTACGTTTTGCTTTTTGTTTTATTATTGAAGGAATGATTCATTATAAATTCTCTCAGTGAACTTAAAGAAATATAAAGAAAAAAATTCTTAACCCTAAGTCTAAAAAAATGAACATTTATTAAAATAACAGACCGAGGTTAGAGAAAATTATTTATATAACCATTTGATAAATACGTATTCACCTCCTAGCCAATCTTGTACTCCGATTCGCAAAATAACCCAAACCGTCGCCCCACAAACCGTAGCCCTGGGCAACTATAAAGTTTCCGGCCATCCACTCCCTTTTCTGGCCATATTTACACAATTGTCGCCTCACACACCATAGCCTCGGACGACGGTTTCATATTTACACAAACAACCCCTTCGCAAGATTCCAACATTGACACAATTTACCGACTTCCGTCGCCCCACAATGAGTCGCCCCTGACGACGGTTTTTAAAGAACTACCCTGATATTCCCCAACCACTTCTTTCTTCTCCAATTTGCTTCTCTTTCTTCCTGCAATAGCCGTCGCCCCAAGTTAGAAGAATTTTCTTCTCTTTCCATTTTCCTTCTCCAGGGGCGACTCTTTGTGGGGCGACGGAAGTCAAGGGGTAAATTGTGTCAATGTTGGAATCTTGCAAAGGGGTTGTTTGTGTAAATATGAAACCGTCACCCGGGGCTACGGTGTGTGGGGCGACGGTTGTGTAAATATGGCCGGAAAAGGGAGTGGATGCCGGAAACTTCATAGTCGCCCGGGGCTACGGTTTGTGGGGCGACGGTTTGGGTTATTGCGAATCGGAGTGCAAGATTGGCTAGGAGGTGAACACATATGTATCAAATGATTATATAAATAATTTTCTCCCGAGGTTATTACCTTAAGAAACCATTGATGTTATAAAAATAAAAGATTAAAAACCTTCGGTTGTAGTTATAGATATGAAGTTCTTTAGTGTAATTTATTCATTTATCTATTTTTAAATTTTATAGGAAATAATTGCTCTTATTAATTAGGGTTAAATACATGGGGTGTATCGAACTTGTCACGTTTTATCATTGTATGTATCCAACTTTAAAAATTACCAATTAATGTACTGAACTTGCTAGAATTGCCATTGTGTGTACCCAACTCTAGAATTAAACCACAAATTGGTGATTCTAGCAATGACAAGAGTACACACAATGGCAATTCTAGCAATGGTTCGGTACACACAATTGAAATTCTAGAAAGTTCAGTACATTAATTGGTAATTTTTAAAGTTGGGTACATACAATGATAAAATGTGACAAGTTCAATACACCCCCATGTACTTAACCCTTTCAGACTTCATAGTTTGTTAAAGTTCTTTTAGGCAGCGTTTGGTACACAGACATGATTGAACAGGACAAGGCAGAACTAGACAGTACCGGACTGGACAAGAGAGTATGACAGGACTGGACAGGACGGGACTGGACAATACAGAACAAGTGTCTGTTTTGTGTTTGGTTCGCCTAGGACTGGACTGGACAAAACAAGACAGGTTCCCAGAAAAACTATTTGATGATTTTATATGTCACCTAATAGTTATAATTAACATAAAAAACTATAACTTAGAAAAAAATTACACAATCTTCATAAAAATAAATACACACACACACACACACATATATATATATATGATTTTTATATAACTAATGTTGATGGTTATGGTAGAGGTGGAGGTGGTGGCCAATGGTAATACTAATAGTGACGATGGTCGTGTGGTGGTCGTTGATTGTGGAGAACGTGAAGATGGTGGATAGTGGTGGTGGTGGAGGTGACCAACGGTCGTGGTGGTGGTTGCGGCGGCGATGAACAATTGTAGAGGTGGTAGGCGGTGGTGGTAGGTAATCGGTAGTAATTGTAGAGGTGGTGGAGGACGTTGTTGTAGTAGAAGACGAGGTGGAGGTGGCCGACAGTGGCTATCGGTGGCGGTTGTGGCCACGACTAGTAATGGTAAACATTAAAACATATACCATATTGAAGTTATATATCAAACGAGTGCTAATTAGTAATATATTAGTTTCTGCCGAAATTTTGTCCCATGTTGTTCCACCTATTTTGGTGGAACAAAAAAAAACCCTTTTGTCCGATGTTGTCCCACACTGTCCTAGTTCTTGTCCCTGTCCCATGTCGCACCAAACGTGGGACATGAAATTTCTGTTATATTCCATGCTACACCAAACGTGGGACAATGAGTTTTGTCCCGTCCTATCCTATCCTGTCCCACGTACCAAACACAGCCTTATATTCATGATTGTAATTTTCGATTTTCATCCCCATAATCTATATTTTTGTCATATCAGTCTATTTTTTATATGGTTTACATCTTTGTTTTTTCTTTATGCTTTACAATTCATTATATTTTAGCTTTTAAAATAAATAATTATAGTTTAGCTTTCATATTTAAATAAAGTTCTTTAGTGTAATTTACTCATTTATCTATTTTTAGTTTTATACGAAATAATGTGTTTTATTATTAAAATAAAAATGTAATTTCTTAAAGTTTTTTTATATTCATGATCAAAATTTCAAATTACGATTTTCATCCCGATAATCTACTTTTTTATTATATGGTTTACAACTCATTTCTTTTATATGGTTTTCAATTTTTTTTTTCTTCTATACTATACAATTCATTCTATTTTTGTTTTTCAAAAAAAAAAATCATTCTATTTTTGTTTTTCATATTTTAAGTATAGTATTTTAAATCATTATATTTTTGTTTTGAATTTTAATTAGAGTTATAACTATATGAGGTGTAAAATATATGAATAAAAACTGTAGTTTTGAAACAGCAGGGGCATCTGCAACTTTTAACAAATCACAGGGATATAGAACATAATTTACTTTATAACAAAAAATATGAAAAATAAATTGTCAGAAGTGGGATTTGAACCCACGCCTTAGATAAAAAATATGAAAAAATAAACGCCCTCTTACGAAGACCAGAACTTGAGTCTGGCGCCTTAGATCACTCGGCCATCCTGACAACATTTATTAATTTCACATTTTCCTTTTATATCTCTGATATTATGTTTTTACTTACAAATTTGCAAAAGTTATTTTTGCTCTCCAGATTCATAAGTTTATTATATTTATCTTACTTTCTTCATTTTTAAAGAATATACAGAAGCAAAATTTATGTCAAAATCTCCATTGTAAATAATTTGTTCGAAATGCTCTAAAACAATTTAAACCTTTGTTCACGCCATATAAAAAATGCTTTAATAGAAAAACTTTTACAACAAATTATATATACATTAATTCAAAAAACAATCAAATGGTATCAGTTGTCACGTTAGTGTCACATCAGCTTTAATAATACCTTACCAATTCTTACCAATTCATCCACACCCATACCAATCCCATACCAATATAAATAATTAATTAAAAGATAAAAGAAAAAGAAAAGAAGAGAGAGAAAGAAGAGAAAGGAAAGAGAGAATGGGGTGGGGTGGGGTGGGTGGGGTGGGGTGGGAGAGAACGGCATGGGGGTGCATGTCTCGTTCCTTGCCAGTGTGGTACCATTCAACCTTGGTGGTGTTGTCACCGGTACCGTGTCATTGCCGGTCTCTATACCACCCCAGCTAAGGATGGCCTAGAAAAAAACTTTAACCAAAAAGCATTTTTGTGTAGCGAAGGAACAGTTGCGTGGGGAGAAGAGAAGACAACAGCGATCGAGACCTTGAGAAGCACCGGTGTTGACTTCACCGAGGAAATAGAGGACAGGGCAGTTTATTGTGGTACTTCTTACCACGTGTTAGTTGTATTATGATGAAGCGTGGAAAGTAAATGGATGTTGTAAAGAACTATATTGTGTGTTTGTGTTGTACGTGGTAGTAGAGGGTAGATAGCTATGTTGGATGTGAATAGCATGTTTTGTGTGCTTACGGACAGCCTTGTACCCATAAGGGTCAAGAGGATAGTATCGTTCTTGATAGGGAAAAAGGCAGGATTAGTTCCGTTCTTGGAACGGAGAGCGGTTATGTGTGCAGATGTGTTTATGTTGTGAAATCCATCGTAATCCGTAGAAAACGATGGGTTGGTGAGACGTGTTTTGGGTTGTGACCTGGACTGGGCAACTTCAAAGCAAAACCGTGAGGGAGTAGGGGTGACCGGTTAGGGCCCTGTGTCTCCAAAGCGGAAAATATCGAACCACGGTCGCCTGGGCTGTTACAGATGGTATAGGTTCCAGTATCAGAGACCGCGTATAGGTTCAAGTATCAGAGACGTAAGGTCGGATTACTGGTGACCAGAGTTAAAAAGGGAAGTGGAAAAGTGTTAGATGTGTCTAAGAGTGAAGGTTGAGTTAGAGTTAGAGTTATCGATTGGAAGAAAGAGCATATGACGAAGAAATAGATTGCAAGGTTGGGTGTACTTTTAGAAATCATGATGTTATATGGGGATAGCGGACAAACTAATGGGTAGAGCGAGAGGACGGTACAGACTCGCAAGTGCATGTTAAGAGCTTGCGTGTGGGCGTTTGGTGGAAGTTGGGATACGTATCTGTCGTTGGTAGAGTTCTTGTATAACAACAGCTTTCATGCCACCATCGGCATGCCTCCTTCTGAGAAGTTGTGCGGGAGGAGATGTAGGACTCTTATTTTCTGGGGAGAGGTTGGTCAGAGTGAGTTGGGCAATAATAAAATTATCCAGAAGGCGGCTGAGAGTATCTCAGTGGAATCGTGATTTACTGAAAACTAATCAGGGTCGTCAGAAGAGCCATGCGGATAAAGTACGGTTAGACCTAGAGTTCGATGTGGAAAGATTGAAATTGACCTTGGAAAGAAAGACCAAGTCTTTGAGAAACAAGGACATCGGGATAGGGAATGTTCAAAGGGAGCATAGAAAAGGTTTGGAATAGACGTGGAAACCGGATGATGAGATGAGACGGAACTACTCAGAGTTGTTCCAAGCATACGCGATTTCGAGGACGAAATCCTGATAAGTGGGGGAGAGTTGTAACACCCCGTTTTCACTTTTTAAGTTAACAGTGTTTTGGTTAGTTATTTAACTTAGTCAACTGTGTTATGGAGGTTCGGGGTCTAAAGTGTTATATGTGAAAGTGCAAGGGAGGGTATGGCGATTTGGAAGAGGGAGAGCAAGGAGATCAAATTGAAGGTGTTATGGAGCAATTGTTGTAGAAATCACGTTGACTACAACCAAGGTATGAATCCTATGTGTGTAATTGATGTTCAATTGAAGGTTTTAGTAAGATGAAGTCATGGTTAGGGTTTGGTGTAGAATGGTGATAATAGAATCATCAATTGGTGTGTTTTGGGTCAAATTGGTTGCATATAATCGTTAGATATCAACCCTAGTTAGTGCATAATCTTGATTTTGGCTTGTTTTGATCATGAAAACCGTTCTAGAGCAAGAAAGGAGAGAAAAGGGAAATTTTCGGAATTGCCGTCAGAATTGCGCGGCTGTGGGATATTGGTTCGTTCTCCCTCGTTAACCGTCGGATCGTCGCGAAATTTGGACAGCAGCTTCAAGACTCATAGTTCTTCGATCTGACCGGAGGGATCGAGCATCGGAGGCTCCAGTAAGGAGCAGCAAATGGCAGAAGTGGGCTGATTTTCCAGGAAGTCGTTTTCGGTATTTTGAGGATTTAAGTGTTGTGCGCGTGCGATTCTCGAAGGCAACCGATGGAGAATCAAGTACTGAATTATTATTACTCATAAGGTATGATTATAAACCCCTTTAATTGTTTGGATTGAGTTGGTTACATAGAGTTTGTGAATTAAGGTTATGGATTGCGAATGATGGCCAATTGATCATTATTCGAAAGTGATGAGTCGAGTTTGATGTCATGTGATTGTGTATAATCATCATGGGATGTTGTATGAACTTGATTTCGATGGTTTCGGTCGAAATTGGAGTTGTAGGTAAAAACTCTCGTTGGTAGTCGCAACCCGCGACTTCCGTTTTGAGTCCGTTTTAAACCGTTTGGTCGAGGTAGCTTATGGGACTTCTTAGGGACTTGTTTAGGCTTCTTTTAGGACTGTTTGAGGGTCCTAATTTTAGTTGTAAATTGTTACAAATACAGGATTCGGTTTGAGGGATCGTGCGAGTTTCGTGTTTTTGATATCTTTGCGATCCAGGTGAGTTACACTTACTTACACTTTATTGTATGGTATGTATTGTATGCATGATAGCGTATGTGAAAGGGATCCACATGCCCTTGATGAGTTGTGGGGGCCGACCCGTGTCCTAACTGACGGGAGAAAGGGAAACCATATGCCCTTGATGAGTTATGGGGGCCGACCCGTGTCCTAACTGACGGGAGAAAGGGAAACCACATGCCCTTGGTGAGTTGTGGGGGCCCGACCCGTGTCCAAACTGACGGACGATTAAATATCGATCTCATGAGAGTCGGGTGTCTGATGTGTTTGATAATTATTGATATGCTTGATGTGAATGATGTTGATTGTGTTGGTACCTGTTATGGTACAGTCTGTGCTATGTGGTAAGATGTAGGTGGTGCTAGCTCACTAAGCTTTATGTTTACCCCGTTGTTGTTTGCTCTTTTAGTGGCAGGTACGTCCTCAAAGGACAAAGGAAAGGCTCCCGTGTGAGGCTCCGGTGACCCAGCAGTTCAGTCTAAGCATAAGGAGTTATGAATGATGTTATTTGGAAGAATGAAATAATTTCTTGGTTGTGACATGTACACTTTAGTTGGATTTTGGTTAAACAATGTTTATGATTCTCAAGTACTTGATCTATGTTTTTCTTAAACTTTATGACGTATGAGTTGTTTTTAAATGAAAGGTTTTTGGACAAGCTTCCGCAACTAATTATCTTTTGTCAAATCGTTGGTTACTTCGCAAAAAAAATTGTATTTTGGAATATGAGTGTTACAGTAATTCTAAATTAAAACTTTGATCATAATGAATTAACGTTATCACCTTTCATATGTATCTCAGTCTAATTAATGAATCATAATAATTGTTTATATCATTTTTATTTTACAATATAATAATTTGTATAGTTTATTAAAATTACATGGTTTATAATTATAATCTTCCTTTTTTGTAATGCCAAAATGTCTAGTTAATGATTTCTCTAAATCTTAAATTTTTTTGAACACCCTTGCCATTGAAAGTGCTCTCTTAACATAAGTCATGAATTCAATGGCTCTCTTAACATAATTCATATGAGCATGAAGGATTCTTTTGTATCTTTTTTCTTTTATAAGATTCATCTGGGCTTAGACCTGACTACATCTTTGATAATTTTTATCGAGATTTAAAACATGCTCTTCTGAGGTTAATACTCAATGGCCCCTGGTTGCTCATACTTGGATTCGAAGTTGGGTTGGTTGTTACACCTTCCACAAGCCTTAACCGGTAGGCTGCCCCATTGGGGTTGATTCTTGGTTCGACTGGTTCAACCATTTGTTTAACCGGTTCCAAGCATTTTTTATGTATTTTCATTTTCCAACATTCACACATACATAAAACCAACAATTTGATATCTACAAGTTAAAAACATTAAAAATACACTTTACAATAAGCTTTACATAAATCCAAACACATTAAAAAAAATAAGTTGTACACGTAAATTTTGTAAAAACCGGGACAACCGGTTTTTTACTGGTTCGATTCACTGGCTCAACCAATTCAACCACTAAACCGGCCGGTTCAATCCAGTCCTTAAAACGCCATAAAACCGGTCATATTTAACATTGTCCTTTCCCCTGTTCCCGGTTCGACATATGTGTAGGAACATAGCTATCAAAGTCTAAAACCAACTTCTTATTGTTATTTTTACATATTAAAAGCTATTTATTGGATATGTACATACCGGCTACATAGGGTTGGCTAGTGTCGAGCCCATCTCAGGGTCACGCTTTGTCTCTTTTATATGCCGGAACTCTCCATAGAAGTAGGAAACAAAACCCCAAAGAGATAACGTAAGAGAGATTCCTTTTTCCACCGGAAACCTTTCATGGAAGAACAAAACAGCTAAAGTCTCTGTTACAGGCAA